AGCAGAAAAGGACGAATCAATTTAGATCGAATTGACCCGCTCGATGGTTCCAGTGTTGAAACGAGGGAGGAAAACGATGTCGTTTTTCTTGCGCTAAAATTTCGATATCACTACGACTGTGGACGCAAGGAACAATTGCCAGCTGCACAGAAGGACGAGAGCCCTGGGTGGATTCGTGAAACTGGCGAAAGAATTCGAGCAGCGAGGGACTGAGTTTACCCAGCTTAATCTGCTCAACACGGCACACATTTCTGATAGTCGAATACACAGATCGCGTTTCAGATGTGCGCGTATCTAGATTTCGGGTAGACTCGAGCGTCCAAATGGTGGGATCCGTATGGATAGACTATTCGTTTGCAGAGGGACGTCATTGTGAGGAGCGACGCTCAATTCCCGGCTTTATGGAGCGAGCGTCGACGAATTTCGGCGGCCGCGACGGTCCCAGAGGGCTCGTTTAATTTTTAATTAAGTCCGCGAAGCACTGGTATACGACCATGCTGAAAATCTACCGGGTGTTTCGCGTTAAAATAACCCCGAATCACCGCACAACTGACCTTAAAATTCAAATTCAAAGTAAACCGAACCGGTTCGTCTCCATTTGCTACGATAATTACCCTTACTGCAACCGTAAAAAAATATACTCGTAAAGCTGATACATTTTCGTACCAGTAGAAATGAATGGTTTAAAACGTGACGCTTCGGTAAGGAAAACATTAGTGTCATACATATATGCATGGCGTAGCAGCCAACGCGTATATGCGTCGAGTCACATGGAAGACCATTCGGAATACAATAAATAAAAAGGTATTATGTTTGCAAATGTTCCTTTATCGAACATCGGTATTCAAGACAATTTTGTTACTTTTGTTACTTTTGTTACTTTTGTTACTCTTGTTACACTGTGACAAAACGTGTGTAATTGTTCATCTCGGCGGCGTATTCGTCTTTTATTCGTACGTTTCTTTCCGTATTACTTAATTAATTCCTCTTCTATCGGTAGGAGATAAGAATAATTTTTAGTCTTCGTTACTTAATTTCCATTTTATAAAGAAGAAAAAATCTGAAATGTAAACGTTTCCACGAATACGTGATTTAAAATATGCTTTCCGGTGGTACACGATAATTTACATTCAAACAATCTGTATGCTTCGCATGGAAAACATTGTTACGAATAGTAATAAGCTGATTTCCTCGTTCAAATGTGAGTCGGATATTTGAAATGAATATTTTTCGTACGTGTTCGTACTTTCGAGAAAAGCGATATCGAGAATTCCAGGGGCAGATCGAACTATATGCGCGCGTACCTCTAGAATTTTTAGCGTTCTTTTTTGAAAACAAAGCTTCCAACGAAAAAAGCATATTCCACGTTTTCGACCTACTTTTGCAAGTGAAATCATCCCCGTTACCATACGTAACCATTTTTACCGCTCACTGCATATTTTTAATGAGGTTTCATAAGAAAACCTTTGTTCCCGTTTGTTCTTGTTCGTTTCACCCGATTATTTAACCAAAAATGTGTGAATTTACAGCTTGAAAATAGTTTAATATAGATTATAAGGTTAATAGGAAATTGTACGATCTTTTAAAGTCGTATTTGTTCGGCGTCTCCGATATCCCCAAAAATAGATCAGGGAAATATATTCGCGAAGGAGGTCGAGAAATATTTTCGCGGATAAATTGAAATTCTCTTCGGCGGAAGTCGAAATATTGAAACGTCTGAAAGACTTTGGTGTTTCAATAAAAGTTTGTCCGTAAAACAGACTACGCTTCCAAATACGACTTTGACCGTCGCGTATGATGCTCGAGGACGACGCTCAAAGGATCGAAATCAAGCTGGTCCTGCGAGGATATTCCACGTTTATCGGAACGTCGAAAGCGTGCTTCCATGGTGACTTTCCTAGGGGCTAGACAGCTGACAAAAAAGTTGCCAACTTAAACAAATAGCGCGAGATCGAGAGAATCGAAGAAACAGGCTGGGAGACATTTAAAGCATTTCGAGGAATCACGAAGGTGGGTTATTATCGAAAAAGGATTTTCCCTCGCATCTGTCCTCACCCAGGTTTGCTACTTACATATTCCGCTTGGAAGTTTTGAATTTCCACTCGGGATATAACTCTCACGATGCCCCATTCCTATTTTTCAAACTTGAAAACCCCGTACATTTTCGGTAGCGCTCCTAAGAATTACGAATAACCTACAAAGAAAGAATCGCAATGTTCGGTTTCGCCCTTTAGTCCTAATTCGAATTTCTTATCTAGTCAAGCTATTAAAAATACTTGAAATGAAACCTGACCACATTTACGCAACAAGTTGCATCGCATTTGCCGAGATTGAAAATTCCATCGTGCCTGAGGGATCAATTATTCGATAATTGCAGCGAGTATATACTCTCAAGCTACGGTACATTATTCCTAAAGAACGTCTAACCTAAAGGGAGTCTGAGGTTGGCAAAATACACAGCAGCTTATATCGGGAAAGCAGCGCGCGCACGAGCGTCTAATCGTCCAAATTAAGAATTATAGCGCGCTGTACCTTCATCTTTTCCCATTCCCTTTGGTCCCGCAGCTAAGATACTCGGCAACGGGGTAATAAAATACCCTCGGCCCAACACCGTCTACAACTCTTTCTCTGCTTGCGCAAGAAGGTGCCACGATGAGAACGAAGAGGAGCGAAGAAAGGCAAAGAAATGGTCCGCGCTCGTGTGCCGGTCGACTGAAGCGAAAGCGAGAGCTCCGGAAATTAAGGTCGCGAAGCAATACTACGCACCAACCCCCGTTCATTCTCTATTCTATTTGTCGACTCTAATGAAATACTTGCAACATCGCTGGTGTCGATGAAAGATACGTGAAAATATAAATACAATTCCGAGCCCTCGTTATAGCCAAAGTAACTAGCTTCGCTACTTTTTAAACCTCGCTTCGTACCAGGCGAACATATGGTTCGTTTCACCGAGAAAGATCCAAGGTAAAGTCGAACCGATTAAAAAAGATAATTAATCGCACGATCCTATCTAGACTATATACCATTGTTAAAAAGAAAAAAAAGAAAAAAAAAAGTTAACGACAGTTTCAACGCCTGGACAAGTTATGGCTTGCCCTTTGAAATGCGCACCAGTGTGGCGTGACACAATCGCGCAGTCACCGTGGCCGCAAAGTTCGATTTCGTAAAGGCTGGCCGAATAGCACGCAAAAGTGTCCTCGACTAGATACTTGAAAGATTTATCGTTACCGTCGTTCCCGTCGTTCCCGTTTGTCTACGAAAGTTCCCCGGTTCCGTTGACTGCGACGTATCTATGTATAGCAATATCGACCTTCGCCGCGCCTTAGAAGTTAATCGGATTTAGCATCGTGCCGCGCACAGACATGATCCATGGCCCAATAAAATATACTTTCAGGAAATATATAAGACAAGTTTTGTAAGAGAAAACCGCGGTTATCGATCCGTGCACGCGGTCGCGCGACGCGGCGCCGCACCGCGCCGTTTCATGCTTCCCTGCCCCGTGGAAATCCCCCTTTTCAACCCTCGGAACTCTAAACGCGTCTAATTTCATTTAACTTTCGCTCGCGGCAAATCATCCCGAAACAACGTAAAAACAACCAGAGGCGTAACACGTGCTACCACTGCGTCGAGTCTGATAACACCTACCGTTTTGTCGTGCTCGCGTGTCAGATTTCTGTCCTTTGTATAATTAACATCGCGATCCTTGAATCTACAAACGGACTAGATCCCACCTAAAATCATTATATTTTCGTTCGAATGTTTGTGAATGAATGGGAGTAATTCGAACCGATTCCGCTGCTGATTACGCAAACGGAGGTTCACCCGTTCGCTCCGAAGAGTGGGCAACGTTCTTCAAGCGTGGAACAGATACGAGCAGAGCAGCATTCTGTTTACCGCGTGCAACACGCTACAACGCTCGCGTGCGGAACCGCCGTCGGTGTTTCGCCAAAGTCGAGGCAGCCGAATCCCGAGGGTTTAGCCGGTGAAAAATTTCTTTAGGATGCAAATAACTTCACCGTGGAACCAGCTCTCCGTATCTGCCCCGACGCTGATTTCGCGTGCGCGCATGCAGAAGTTGCAATGTCAGCCAAGAACGCGATATCTGTGCGCGCATATTCCATCGGGTCGGAAAGCCAGATACCAGAAACACCGCCAACCCGCCAGCTATATTCCACGGCGTTTCACGCTACGTGGACAACCGGAGTCTTTCGTTGATGCTATGCAAAGCGTGTTTCATGCGAAATTCTTGGGGAAAAGTTCCATCCAAAAAGAAACGCGTCGTAGATATCGAAGGGTTACGAAAACACTGGTAAAAGGAAACGCTGGATGCTATCTATTTTCGGTGTTGCGTTTCAACCCCATCCAACCCAGTTTGATCGCGTACAGTTGCATCGTCGCAGCGATAAACGCGACGTCGTTGCGTCTGTCGTTGCGCGTTGCGATGGAGACTGCGCTAATAGTAATGGTAATAGTCGTGTTCCCTGGCCACCTACCCGCGTCTATCTTTGTTCGCGAGAAACTCTAGCCGTGGAACCAGCTCTAAATACAAACGTCGTGCTTCTATTTTCATCCAATCGTCGCGGGTTTATACGCGCATCCCAAAAGCTTGCCGGTGAAAACGCGAGACAGACATGCCCTGGCGCGTTTCACGAATTTCCTTCGGAAAATTCATCGTTTTAAAAATTGCTTGAAATTCCATTCGACGATGGAAGTACCGTAGTCTTTGCGAGCTTAATAAAATGTATTAAATTTCGTATTCCACAGAACGTTTTCACTCGACAATTTCAATTCTCTTTGAGGCGATTTAAAACAAATTTAATACCGGCTATTTATCGTATTAAAATTTATTTTAAATTGGACCACACAGGACCGAAATCGAAAATAAACTTGATCTGCTACATACATACGTGCCGGAGAGAACTGAAATTGTCTGGCAACACACACATTACGAAGTACAAAATATTTCGGTTTCAGTACTATCCTTGTCTAGAAACACTCACCAAGTGTTATTCGACCAGAATTATCGACGTTACATGAATTGGGAACACGTACCTGCAACAGAACAAAAGAAAATGTGATTAGAATCAAATAGGTAATGCCTTCTTTAAAAGGAGAACAATTGCATAACTGGTAAATTTACCGCGCAACCATGCAACCAAACCACCGAGAACAGTTCCAAAACGATATTAGGTTAATGTATTCTATTGTTGTCTAAACTTGATATTCTTTGAAGCTACTCCTAAGCCTCTCCGAGGCAAAGCAGACGAATCCCTCTCGAACGCGCTTGTTTAACGATTGCAAGTTAAATTGCACGGCATACTATTATAACTTTATATCCTCGTTAGAGTTTCTAAGAGAGCATCGTCGGCAATATGTACTTTTGAGAAGCGCCGATTCACTGCTTCACGAGAAACTTCAAGGGCCGTGTAATGCAACCAAATATTCTCTGGACGTTAGCGGCAAGTCCATCGTTACATGGAAAACGCATCCCTCTGAAGTAACGGTGCGCACCTTTTTCCCATTGCTAGACGATAATTTTACAGGGGAAGTATTATATTTTGAGTTGATGCGAATCGGAACGATGAGATACTTGGCCTTAATTAAATTAGAGAAACCCGTCGATTTCGCGATCGTAAAAATGAATAAAATCAGAATACTCCGTTACGTAGCGGACCTCCATTAAATGATTAACGTTCCCACTAACAAAACTTGCAATCAGAACGCGGGAGCCTTTGATTTCGGAAATTCGAAACCCTCAATTTCCGGAACTCGAAACTGCTCATTTCGAACATTTAATTAACAGTCTCGCATCGAGCGCGAGCACGGATATTGTCGTAAAAGAAAAAATTTGCTGTCAACGTTGTCGCAGGGCTTTCCTGGAACGGACAATGCTTACATGGAGAAAAATACCGATTCGTTCGGGCGAATTTGATTTCCTCTCGAATGGAATGTTTTACTGGAATCGAACGGCAATTTCCCCAAAAATGCGCCGTGTCGTGCTCCGCTGGTATTTCTGATGATGCGTGATATTTTTGGCGAAGCGAATTAGCTGATTACTCTTCGTTCTGCAATTACGCGCGACGCGTAACGCTATTCAAAGCTCGTAAACGCGGATACAAATTCACCTAAAGCGATGCAACCAATCGATCGGGTCCCATTAAGGGTGCACGCACACACGCATCTATACGGGGTGTCCCGGTCGAAACGAACCAGCCAATTATTAGGGTGAGCCAAAGCGTTTCTTCCGATTGTTCAAAGACCAGCAACTTTTGTCAAATGTACAATTTGAGATGGACCGATGATTAATTCGTGACCTCTCCGAATGACACGAAACCGTAGTAAATTGATTTCGAATCAGACACCGTGTAGACACTCGCGATAAAGATCCAGCCATGACTGATGAGGATGTAACCGGTCGGTCCTTTTGTCCGACCCTTTTATCGTTAACGAATTTCAAACAAGCCTGCGAAAGCTCGATCTCGCAATGAGCGATTGCGATGCCAGCAATATAGGGGCATCTCTATTGGCCATTTGCCAGTTCGGGACTACAGTGCTGGGGCTTGACTCGATAGTTAAACAGCCAATAGGAAACTTCCAGCGATTCATGGTGCCAGGCTTTGAAAAGCTGCCCTTGGTGTGTAACCATTGTACTGTGATTGAAGAGGCTAATTTAGATGGACGGGTGTATGCCGCCCGGAGGGAAGAAACTCTCCTAAGGAGTGTTCTTCCTTGCCAGACAAATGACTGGCAACTGACCTCAGCCACGTTAAGAAGATTGAACACCGAATCTCGACGAGTCAGATTTTATACCGCCCTTTTCCCGCGCCGCTGAGAACAGGAAGAATGTTCGATCGGCGCCAAGTCGGACGTAAAACGGTCCTCGATCCTCGTCGCTCTAAATACAACGAGACCAAGCTTCGTATCCGCGTATGGAATATTTTACCGGTTACTATGGATCGACGATCTTCCAATTAATTCGTGTCGAGACGATATTGGCCTTCGTGTTTTGGTGGCGAGGCTAATTTTAATTCCAACCAGAGAGCATTTGTACGATGCTCTATATAATTGCGTGGTTACAGAGAAAATACGTCTTAATACCATTATAACAGAACCAATCTATTCAGCTCGGACTAACCGGTAACCCCAAAGCGGAATTGATCTTGCTACAGTGTTATCTCCTATTCCTAATGATCCACCATTGTAGTCTGTAGCTGCTGTGGCTATAATGGAGGCAGGGTAATACTATTGATTACGTCTAACTGAAACTGGCCCTTGCCGCTTTGCTCTCGTCTAGAACGTATCCGTGAAACTCTACGGTCTTTCCTGTTCAACCCTGTACATGTGTCCCGAGGGTAAGAAAAAAAAAAAAATAAGAACTAAACAGCGTGATACTGCGAACAATATCGTACACTTTCCGAGAGCTTAGCGACACGCTTCTTTCGCCACGATACTCTCTCGAGGGTGTTTTCTTCTTCTTTACACTTATCCCTCCCTCTATACCTTTTCTAATCAACCGGACAGCTGGAATTGCGCTACTAGCATTGTATATTTTGCCGCGTGGCGACCAGCAGATGTGGTCAACGTTCCACTCGAATAACGATACGAGTTACGAATCAAACTTTATACATTTTTTTATAACAACGAGTAAAATAGATGTACAATGTTTGACCTATTTCAAAAACACTCCGCGCCTTTGCCTTTGCTCGGACGGTTACGCTAAAAGAAACGCGTTAGAAGAGAAATAGCCCAAAGGAGACGAAACGAGGATGCGACAAAGAAAGGATTAAACTGCAGGACGCTCGCATACAGATAAAGCGGAGCATCGCGATAGACGGCGACCTGACGAAACGTGTGCAGAGAGAAAGGGAAGGCACGGTGGGGGATAGAGAAGGAAACACGGCGCGGAAAAAGAAGGAATAATAACAATGCGACTATAATTTCCGAGAACAAAGCTCTCATTATGCTTCGCTGAATGTACACGCGTTGGGAATGTATACCAAGCAAACTGTACCAAACAGTACCAAACTGCCAGATGTTTTATCAGCTCCTACGAGCGCGTCTTTTCATTTCGTCGACAAAGAAGCGTTGCCTCTGCAGGGTCGAAGCGTGCCACTTTTCTTATCGTCGATCCACTGCGTACGCAAAATTAAACACCTCTTTCACGTAATCTCTACTTCTTGAACGAATTTAAACGCGATACACATAAAGGTAAAAATCGATTAAATTTCTACCCTGGAGCTAGACTCGTAAACGAACGGTACAAAGTTTCCCGTACCGGCTAAATATACCTAAAGCAACCTGGATGTCGCCACCGTACGGTGTTCCGACAGACATCGCGTCATATCGAATGGCGTAACTTTGGAACCGTGTAATTTATCTTTATAGTTGGTTACGATACCGAACACCGATACTCGAACGAACAAATTTCAAGGAAACGTGCATTTTTCAAGCGTTAGTTTATCCTGCACGGTCACCGACAGCTTTTGCCAGACTTACGATCACTCGTTGGAGGGAAACACTCGAAAGCAAGGGGTTAATTCGGGCTAACGCTAGATTGCTAAAATAACACACCGCGCGTTGGTGTCAGCGGTTTGCCCTGAACTCAACGACAATTTAGCTGAGTAGCGGTCCGAGAGAACATTCCGACAGATCAACGACGACCACCGTCGTCATTCCACCACGATTCCGTAATTGTCGAAAGACTGAGGGCAGAAAAAAAAAGTGGGCAAAGGAAAACAGATATAGCGCGTAAAAGATCCAACTGGGACGAAGGGAGCCACGATCGACGCATTTTTTTCAGAGAGGAAAGAGACTAGGGAGACACGAGTCTACTCGGGCTATCCGGCCTAGCGTGGATTTTGAACCAACCAAGACACCCTCTTGTCCCAGAAAACAAAAGAGCAGCGGCTGTTGCTCGTTCGTTCCTACCTCGCCATCTACCACCCACGCCTGTCTACCCTTGCTTCCCTGCCTCGTCCTTGCCATCCCTCCGCCTTTTTTCTTCACCTCCCCTCATTGTTTCTTTATGATTCCCGTCTCTGTCTGTCGTTCAAACGAACTCCTACAGTCGTCGTTCTACCAAATGCCTCCGCGATATCGATTCATCTCGTTTCCCCGCACTCGAACCCGCTCCCATATCCGCCGGAAATCTCTGATTTATGAACTTCTGCGTGGATCGCGAGGCGCGAAATAACCATGGAAATCGAACCCCTGACAACACGCCCTTCTACAATTTCGAATTTCGAGGCAACGATATACAGAGCGAGGCAGCTAAACTGTTACGGACTGATAATGCCTAAACGTAGTAGCGAGCTAATCGGCTGCCATTTTGTATCTACGATAGTTTAGGCATTATCGCTTTGTAACAGTTTGGCTGTCTCGCCCTGTATAAGAGGGCGGTCTCTTTCGCTGCATTTTCCTAGCTCGTGGCATGTACGTTTGTTACCCCCTTTCCGCTCTTCGTCAACCATGCATCCCTGAAAACGAGTCGATATCGCTGACCCGAATTATCACGAGAAAAATTCGAGATGGCCTAGCCTTGCCTCGCAGGGATACAATAATCTTCCAGATAGGATATCTCCTTTTTCTCTTTTCTTCGCGCTCGACCGAACTCTTTTTTACGTCCATTCCTTTTACCCTCTGCCGTCTCTCTTCCTCTCTCTTGCCGGGTTGTAAGCACAGAGTCGAGGCAAGAACCGCTTTGCCCAAGTATCTCCAACAGTATCGACTTCCCCTCTCCTCGTTCTCCTCACCCACGCAGTTTTTTTCTCTCTCTTTTTCCCTTGCCTCCGTGACTCCTTCTAAATCTCCCGGTTCTTCAGCCCCTTTGCAACGCGGCAGACTCGTCGGTATCGCAAACTCGGGACTATCTTAAGGAGATTTCACGCTACCACGGCCTTACGGGATGAAATAATCCCAAAGATATGGCCAGGTCAGATATAGCGGACTCGTTCGTGGTTTCCTTAAATTTTTCAACTTAATCGTACCCTTTTTAGCGAGATTCCAGCAACGGATAGCGGGATAAAAAAAAAATAAAATCAAGATTACAGCTC